AAGGCCAAGTACCTTATTCGGGTTTTCGTCAAAATTCATATCTACTTCGATTATTTTTTCTTTATGAGAGATTTTGTCTAGAAATTCCTTTGAATTTGAACACCATTTGTGTAATTCAAATCCAGAAGCCTTTAATAAAGAGATAAGTTCGCTATAGAGTATTTCTAAATCCTTAAGGTCATCACATCCACTTAGGATATCATCCATGTAACATTGTTTCAATAGAGAATGAGACGCGAGGGGATAATCTGAGCTATTTTTTAATGCAGCATCGTTTAAGACTCTAGTTGCGAGGAATGGAGCACTGTTAGTGCCATACGTGACAGTGGTCAATTCGATGCACTGAAGTGGTTTTTCAGGCTCGTCTCTCCATAAAATATTTAATAAAAAGGTCTGAGTGGGATTTATCTTTATTTGTCTGAACATCTTCTCAATATCAGAGGTGAGAGCATATTTGAAAGATCTGAAGCGTAACAATATGTCATAAAGGTCAGGCTGGACCTGAAAGCCTTTGAGAGTTATGTCATTTAGGGAAAGGCCCGTTGTGGTTTTGCAAGAGGCGTCAAAGACCACACGCAGCTTCGTTGAGCACGCACCTTCTCTAACCACAGCATGATGAGGGAGGAAGCATTTGTGCTCCAGATTTTCATTAGCAGAGGAAAGGGGTACGAACCTGGCATGTCCAAGGTTAACATATTCATGAATAAATTTCTGATATTCATGAAAATAATCTGGGTCCTTTACAAATTTCCTCTCGAGATTGTGAAATCTTTTTGTGGCTATAGACAAAGAATCACCGAGTTTGAGATTTTCAGAGGGAGATTTCAAGGGTAAGTTAACTTGATAAGAGCCATTTTCTAATACTTGAGTTGTTTCCTTGAAACAAGCTTCAGCCTTTGCATCTTCAAGGGAGAGAGGGGCTTTGGTATGAATTTCTTCCATGGACCAAAATTTAGTCACTATATTTTCGAGAGAGCTATTGTCCGGGCTTTGAACAAACATAGAGACAGAGGAGTGCACTTGTTGTGCAGGGCTACTAGTGACTAAATGAGAGCAGTTATTATGGTGTGAATTTTGGGGAAACGTTCCTCCAAGAATCCAACCGAGATGAGTGTTTAAGACTGTGGGCAGGCCATGACCTAGATGAATCAGGCCTTGTGTCAGGAGATTATAATAGAGGTCTGAACCAATCAGAAGGTCAATTTCCGAAGGACGAGTGAAACTAGGATCAGCAAGAACAATGTCGCTCGGTATATTCCACGAACTGACATCTATTTGTATAGAGGGGAGGGGTCCTGTTATTACAGGGAGAACAGCGCAGGAAATCTCAAATTTCCTATGAGGATACAAATTTGAGTATATTTTCAAATCAATCATCTTATTAGTAACATTGTTACTAAGAGCTATGCCAGACACATATGTTGTTTTGACATAGGGGACTAGTTTTAACCTTTTAACTAGTTTGTCAGTTACAAAGGAGTGTTGCGAGCCATTATCTAAAATGGCTTTGGCTTGAAGGGGCCGCCTGTCTGCGTCATAAAGTGTCACGCATGCGGTTGCTAAAAGAGTTTGTGAGTTTTTTGTAGAGAGTGCTGAGACGGAGTGGAGACTTTGGGAAGATTTGGGAAGTTCATTTTGGTTTGGTTGTGAGTCAGCTTGATTTTGTGGTCTTGAACCTTGTGTCTGTGTCTTGGGAGGATGCTGAGACGGTTGCTGCTGACCATTAGAATAATTTGGTCTAGCAATCGAAGGGTTATTATGATGGGGTCTTTGTTGGGGTCTGTGACCTTGAGCTGGAGGATTTTGAGGGACAAAAGCATTGTGGAGCAATGTATGATGCCTTTGAGAGCAGATAAAACAACCTTTGGTTGCTGGGCAATTGGCAAGAGTGTGTTTGGAACCAAGACAATTAAAGCAGAGTTGTTTTGAATAAACAAAAGTCTTCCTTTCCGAGTCCTGTAAACCTTTAAACTTATTACAAATATAAATTTTGTGAGAGTCTTGATTGCAATATAAGCAGTGTGTAGTGACTTTACTTATATTATTTTGAGCGAACAGAGCAGCGCCAGAGATTGGGGTTTTGTTTACTTTTCGTTGCCCGTTTTGTGCTGAAGGCACTTCCGTACTTGAGAGATTTTCCAAAGCTAAGCATCTTTTTTCGAGGAATTCAAAAAGGTCATCAAGTTGAGGGAGCTGATTTAAATCGCGCTTATTCTCGAACGCCTTGCGTGTGCCAAAATCAAGTTTTTTTCCCATTAAATATATTATCAAAAATTCCCAAAGCTGTTCGTAAGAATAGTGCAAATTCTTTAAAGAGAGTAAATTTTTTCTACAATTTGTAACAAACTCTCTGAGAGTTTGAGCGTTACATTTACTGAGTGTGTTTTGTTCCAAGAGAGCAACAAAATGAGAGTTTATTACAGAGATTTTGTTTTCATATCGTTTCTGCAATATTTCTAGAGCGATATCAAAATTATCGTTTGTCACAGCCAAGTTTTCAATCAATTTCAATGGTTCGTTTCTCAAAAATGACTTTAAATAAATAAATTTTTGTATTTTACTCAGGTGAGTATTATCAATTATCAGAGCAGAGAAGATTTGAAAAAAGGAAGTCCACTCAGCGGTGTCACCTTTAAAGGGGTTTATATTTATTTGAGGGAGTTTCACTTCCATATGTGGTGGCAAACTCAGCTGTGGCAAACTAGTTTGGCTTATTGGTGGAGTGTTCAGGGTAACCGGAGACAATGTTTTAGTACATTTTTGTATCAGAGAGAGAGTATCATAGAATTGATTTTCAACAATATCTCTATTTTCGTTATCATTTGCAGTGAATTCTTCAAGATAAGTTTCAATTTCATCTTGAGTCATTGAGTATTTTTCAAAGTTATCTTTTAAGTTAACTATACGATTTTCAAATTGAGTTGGGTCTACTTCAACATCCTTATTGTTTTTCACCCAATTGGCAATGCGAGTAATAGCGCTTTTTGCGCGAGTACGGACCTGCTTCATAGCATCAAAATCCATATTGAGAAATAGCCTTTAAATAACTCCACCAATAATAATCAATTTAAAATGAATTAAGAGAGCCAAACAAGCTAATTAATAAATTGTACCTATACAAATCAATACACAATGTACCTATTTACAATATAGAATATTTACAACAGAGAATGTACTTACCAAGTACGAGCAATACAGGGATTCGAGTAGGTAAATTTCAATATATAATAAAAACACAAGTTTTTATTGAGCAGTGTAGAAATGAGAATCTTAAAGCAGTCAGAGATAGAGGCATAAAAAAACATTAAATTTTTTAATTAATTACATTTCAATCAAGGCTTTAATCCGGCTCGAAGGACCAATGTGACGGAACTAGCTATTACCCTTTTGTGGACTCTAGTCATTACCGCACCAGGGATGTCAAAAGTTTTTACTTTGACTGACTGTAAAAATTAACCATTAGGTGTTGGATCATTTAAGCCTTGTATTGAACTAGGGGTGCCTTGATTCTCATTTATACAAATAAAACGCTGAAATAGAATAGTTATCAATTTAATTAATAAATGAAGTTAATTCGGTTTAATCAGCAATCAAATCCTATCTAATAATTCCTATTTGGACGTCCAGTCGAACTACAAATTTTATACTAATCTAAAGTGAATAAGCGAGTAAATAAGTATCTTGATTTATAAAAATAGTGAAATTTCATAATAATAATATCAATTATGGTTAAATGTTCAATGAACGAGAACACAGATTAACTAATTAGATTTACGAGAGCACAACACAAATAATTCGTGAACTTCAATCAGCTCACTGTATTCACAAAATGTTTATTTATCCTTGAAAGTTCCTTTGTTTATTGAGAGTTAATAATTTGAGCACTTTTCTGCTGAAGTGTGTAAACAATAAGTGCAAGAAAAGTCTATATATATATGCTCAGTTTCTATATACAAATTTACAAATTAATGTTCATTTCACGAGTGTGAAAACCAAATTTCTGTATTAAAGGTTAGAACAAACACTTCAATTTATAGTGCATTTCAACCGAATCAGTATTCAGTATTTATTAATTTATTGTTCGACTGTTTTGAGAAATTGAAACGGTCTTACTTGCTTAATCCAGTTCATACCGGTAAATCCATATAGTGATTATTTATCCATTTATCACTATTCGTAGTAATTTGCACTGTCAGCTAAGGAATTTTCCACTAAGAGAGAGAACACAATGATATACAGAGTTGAAGCCCGTCGAGAGTGAGACAGGAATAACCTTAAACAGGCGTAGTAGAGAATTTTGCTAGGTCCGAGATGACTTGCAACAATTTAGGGGTTAATTACATGAATTGTAATCAATAATATCGTTGATAATATAGGCCATGTCAGGCCTTGAGACACTGGGAGTAGTATTTTACTATAATTCGCGTACTAACGGGGGTTTTCTGGGGGTTTTTTCCTCTGTAGAGCGTTCAGAGGCGAGAGGGTGCAGAGTCTTTGCTTACTCTTCTGCTTCTTGATTACTACTGTTGTGTACCGTGCCGTGCGTCGAGTCGACTGCCTTTTTCGGAGCAGGTCGCATAAATCAGGGATGTTGGGTGGCAACTGACCAATCACAACAACAAAATAGATCCATTGCTCATAGGGTAATGAAGAAATCTGTAATTTTACCGATTCAAAAGGGCTGCTGTTGCCAGTTTTACAGGAATCTTTTTTTAGAATATTATTTTTATGATAAATAATAGAAGCTGAGATTATATTGATAAACTACAAATAATAACATTTTAAACTTGTTGTGGGTTATTTCCGCAACAAAATAATTAGAGAAAAATACAATAAATGGATCTACAAAATTGATAACAGAATCACGGAAATTGGATAAAAAATTATAAAACATCAAATTTGGCCGAAATTTCAGGTTGGCGGAATTTTGTGCCGGCGAATGTATCAACAAGTAATTTTTTATGTAATGGTTTAATTTAAATAAAACTTACCACAAAACAAAGACATAATAAATATATATTATGTTAAAAATAATACATTATGTATAATATAATGACCATCATCGAAAAAAAAAAGCAACGAAAAATAATAATAATTAAAATTTAACAAGCTACAAAATATTATAAGCAATCACAAAATACATTATAAGTTTTCATACCAATTATTATTATAAAATATTATTTACAAGGAAATAGGGGTTTTCAAAAAAACAATAACTTCTGGATGTTTTTCAACAAAAAATGTTTCCGTGATATAAATTAATTAGTAGACATCCAGTCAATGACTTAACTTATTAAAAATTTGGTCCCTTTATTTTTGGAAGTTAAGTCATTGAAATTTTTAATCTTAAATTTTTAACTTCTAATTCCAGTGCCGTAGTGTGCGCCAGCGGCTTTGTCCAATTCAGTTTCGAAGTTTTGTAGAGTAATGTCTGTTAAGTTTTCTGTTTGAAGTTCTACAGCGAAGTTCTGAAAAAAAATATATATTTATTGTAGATAATGAAAGGAAATTTTCTAAATAGAATTGAAACCTTTCATGAATGCTTTAAAACAATAATTAATTAATGTCTAGGGTATAAGTTTAGGTATGGTTTTTGTGAATGTTTCAAAGTTTTGGACTTATTAAAAATCAACATTTTTGAACTTTTATTATCTTTATAGCCTTACAAGATAATAAGACGAATTTTTCAGAATTTGTAGCTTTGAAGGTAATCTTCAAAACATTAAATTAGTTAACATCTATAAGATTACAGTTTTTGAGAAAATTGAGTGTAAAGGGTTGGACTTAATTTTCACTAAATTTTAAATTTGAAACTCAATATCTCAGAAACTTTACGAGTTATGTTATGAAAACCAATCGAGCACAGTTTAATAGAGAATTAAATGCTCTTCAAAACAATATATTATTTGAATCAATTTGCCCAAATATTATTGGAATAGAAAGGGAAAGACTTCTAAAGTTATATTTTTAAAAATTCACTTTTTTCTACTGCCATGAAGATATTGAGCTGACATTTTCAAAACATGCAAATGAAGGAAAAGACAATAAATCCTTCAAATTCTACAACTTAACTGATTTTGAATATTCAATGGCTTGGAGGCATTTGAAAGAAATTAGATCTAAATTATTTAATAAAATAATGACTTGAGTATAATAAAAATGCAATTTAATCAGAATACCATCAATGCCAATGGGTCAAGCTTTATCTGCATTAAAACAATTTAACAAAATAGCCATTGTTCTTGCAATGTGAGAAACAACAAATCTATTTTTAGAGGACAATAAATACAATGATATCGTTATCGTATGTAAAATGCGCAAAATTTTATTTCTAATGTGGAAAGAAATACGTGATTTGCATTGCATATTATCAGGTGACAAAATCTGAAAAACAAATAATAGGAACATTGTTAAATTATGTAGGATTAAATGATAAGGGGGTAATAATAATCATTTTAAAACATGTGTGTTTACACTGTATAGCAATTTGAAAAACATCTTTACATATTTGCATAGGTATTATAAAAAAAAATCTCATTTAAAAATGTTTTCATCAAAAAAACTTCTACAAATCCAATAAATCCTAATCTGCCAAAAAAAGGTTGTAGCCCAAAGAATTTATGGGTTTTTCAAGGGCGAGGGCAAGCTGACTTTTTCAGTGCTGATTGGAGACTGTGTCCTGAGTATTGAGCCGAAAAATCACACTCGAAATCCTTGTGCGTTCGGCCCTATTGGTCTTTTTCTTATTTATTTTTTTTTCGACAACATGACCTTTACAAAACTTGTAGATAATAACATTCTGATCAACTTTGCCTCATGCCTTTTTTTGCTAGCTATTTTAGTTTAGGCGTTGCGGCCATTTTAGTGCTCCAGAATTCGCAAAAAAATTAAATAGCTAACTTGCAGATTATTGTAACTTTAATAAAATTACTGGTAATGTACTCCATTACGTTTTCGGTTTCAGTCCAGGAAATGATACATTACATCACTAATCCGGTGAAATTATTTTTCCTACAATCGGCCTAGAAAGCAGGCTTTGTCGATTAGATTTGTGATCGCAAAGTAGGCGTTTCCTGATGACCTTTACTTTGCCGCTCTAGAGCGGCAAAGTACTAAAAACGCTCGCTTGTAAATTTTGTATTTTCCCAATTTTTTATTCCCACTTTTTTTTTCCCCGACCATTTTTTTTCGCGACTTTTTTTTTCACATTTTTTTTTCCCGACCATTTTTTTTCATTTTTTTTTCCCTACTATTTCTTTTCCCGGCAATTTTTTTTCCCGACTTTTTTTTTCCCGACTTTTTTTTCTCGTTTTTTTTTTCCCGACAATTTTTTTTCCCGACCATTTTTTTTCCCGACTTTTTTTTTCCGACTATTTTTTTTCTCAACAATTTTTTTTCCCGACTTTTTTTTTCCCGACTTTGTTTTTTCCCGACTTTGTTTTTTCCCGACTTTTTTTCCCGACTATTTTCATTTCACGACCATTTTTTTTCCCCGACCTTTTTTTTTCTCGAGCATTTTTTCTTCTCGACTTTTTTCCCGACAATTTTTTTTCTTGACCATTTTTTTCCCAACTTTTTTTTTCCCGACTTTTTTTTTCCCGACTTCTTTCATTTCCCGACCGACTCTTTTTTTCCCGACAATTTTTTTCCCAACTTTTTTTTTCCCGACTTTGTTTTTTCCCGACTTTGTTTTTTCCCGACTTTGTTTTTTCCCGACTTTTTTTCCCGACTATTTTCATTTCACGACCATTTTTTTTCCCCGACCTTTTTTTTTCTCGGGCATTTTTTCTTCTCGACTTTTTTCCCGACAATTTTTTTTCTTGACCATTTTTTTCCCAACTTTTTTTTTCCCGACTTTTTTTTTCCCGACTTCTTTCATTTCCCGACCGACTTTTTTTTTCACATTTTTTTTTCCCGACCATTTTTTTTCTTTTTTTTTTCCCTACTATTTCTTTTCCCGGCAATTTTTTTTCCCGACTATTTCTTTTCCCGGCAATTTTTTTTCCCGACTTTTTTTTTCCCGACTTTTTTTTCTCGTTTTTTTTTTCCCGACAATTTTTTTTTCCCGACCATTTTTTTTCCCGACTTTTTTTTTGCGACTATTTTTTTTTCCCGACAATTTTTTTTCCCGACCATTTTCATTTCACGACCATTTTTTTCCCCGACCTTTTTTTTCCTCGAGCATTTTTTCTTCTCGACTTTTTTCCCGACAATTTTTTTTCTTGACCATTTTTTTCCCGACTTTTTTTTTCCCGACAATTTTTTTTCCCGACCATTTTTTTTCCCGACTTTTTTTTTCCCAACCATTTTTTTTTCCCGACAATTTTTCTTCCCGACTTTTTTTTTTCCGACTTATTTCATTTCCCGACCTACTTTTTTTTTCCCGACAATTTTTTTCCCAACTTTTTTTTTCCCGACTTTGTTTTTTCCCGACTTTGTTTTTTCCCGACTTTTTTTCCCGACTATTTTCATTTCACGACCATTTTTTTTCCCCGACCTTTTTTTTTCTCGAGCATTTTTTCTTCTCGACTTTTTTCCCGACAATTTTCTTTCCCGACCATTTTTTTCCCGGCAATTATTTTTCCCGACTTTTTTTTTTGCGACTTTTTCTTCTCTTTTTTTTTTCTCTTTTTTTTTTTCTCGACTTTTTTTTTCTTGACTTATTTTTCCCGGCCATTTTTTCTTCCCGGACAATTTTTTTCCCGTCCAACTTTTTTTTTTCACGACCATTTTTTTTCCCGACCATTTTTTTTCTCGACCATTTTTTTTTCTCAATTTTTTTTTCCCGACAATTTTTTTTTCGACCATTTTTTTTCCCGACTTTTTTTTTCCCGACCGACTATTTTTTTCCCGACAATTTTTTTTCCCGATTTTTTTTTTCACCACCATTTTTTTTTCCCCGACCTTTTTTTTTTCGAGCATTTTTTTTCCCGACTTTTTTTTTCCCGACAATTTTCTTTCCCGACCATTTTTTCCCGACTTTTTTTTTCCCGGCCATTTTTTCTTCCCGGCCATTTTTTTTCCCGACCAACTTTTTTTTTTCACGACCATTTTTTTTCCCGACCATTTTTTTTCTCGACCATTTTTTTTTCCCAATTTTTTTTTCCCGACAATTATTTTTTTCGACCATTTTTTTTCCCGACTTATTTTTTCCCAACTATTTTTTTTCCCGACCGACTTTTTTTTTCCCGACAATTTTTTTTCCCGACTTTTTTTTTCCCGACTATTTTCATTGCCCGACCGACTTTTTTTTCCCGACAATTTTTTTTCCCGACCTTTTTTCTTCCCGGCCAATTTTTCTTCCCGACTTTTTTTTTTCCGACTTATTTCATTTCCCGACCTACTTTTTTTTTCCCGACAATTTTTTTCCCAACTTTTTTTTTCCCGACTTTGTTTTTTCCCGACTTTGTTTTTTCCCGACTTTTTTTCCCGACTATTTTCATTTCACGACCATTTTTTTTCCCCGACCTTTTTTTTTCTCGAGCATTTTTTCTTCTCGACTTTTTTCCCGACAATTTTCTTTCCCGACCATTTTTTTCCCGGCAATTATTTTTCCCGACTTTTTTTTTTGCGACTTTTTCTTCTCTTTTTTTTTTCTCTTTTTTTTTTCTCGACTTTTTTTTTCTTGACTTATTTTTCCCGGCCATTTTTTCTTCCCGGACAATTTTTTTCCCGTCCAACTTTTTTTTTTCACGACCATTTTTTTTCCCGACCATTTTTTTTCTCGACCATTTTTTTTTCTCAATTTTTTTTTCCCGACAATTTTTTTTTCGACCATTTTTTTTCCCGACTTTTTTTTTCCCGACCGACTATTTTTTTCCCGACAATTTTTTTTCCCGATTTTTTTTTTTCACCACCATTTTTTTTTCCCCGACCTTTTTTTTTTCGAGCATTTTTTTTCCCGACTTTTTTTTTCCCGACAATTTTCTTTCCCGACCATTTTTTCCCGACTTTTTTTTTCCCGGCCATTTTTTCTTCCTGGCCATTTTTTTTCCCGACCAACTTTTTTTTTTCACGACCATTTTTTTTCCCGACCATTTTTTTTCTCGACCATTTTTTTTTCCCAATTTTTTTTTCCCGACAATTTTTTTTTTCGACCATTTTTTTTCCCGACTTATTTTTTCCCAACTATTTTTTTTCCCGACCGACTTTTTTTTTCCCGACAATTTTTTTTCCCGACTTTTTTTTTCCCGACTATTTTCATTGCCCGACCGACTTTTTTTTCCCGACAATTTTTTTTCCCGACCTTTTTTCTTCCCGGCCAATTTTTTTCCCGACCAACTTTTTTTTTTCACGACCATTTTTTTTCCCGACCATTTTTTTTCTCGACCATTTTTTTTTCCCAATTTTTTTTTCCCGACAATTATTTTTTTCGACCATTTTTTTTCCCGACTTATTTTTTCCCAACTATTTTTTTTCCCGACCGACTTTTTTTTTCCCGACAATTTTTTTTCCCGACTTTTTTTTT